ATATTTTGTACTCCCTCCGTCCGGATTTAAAGTTCACACTCCACGTTTTTTTTCGTCCGGAAATAAAGTTCCTCTTCTAAATTTTTATACCCACTCTTGCTAAAATACCCTCTTATTAATTTCAAAACTCACTCTTCCTCTTCTCCCTCTCTCTCTCTCTCTTTCCCCCACCCTCCCCCCTTTTCTTCTTCTCCTTTCTTCTCTTTTCCCGCTTCTGTCCTCCCTCACTTCAATCTTCTTCTTCTCTCTCCTAGTCCCCATCTTCTCCTTCTTTTCTTCTTCTCCGCTATTTTTTCTCGATTGGCACCTTCTCTCTAGCTTTTACTTCTTTTTCCAGCCAGATCTACACCATCTTTTTGAAATTTCTTGTTTTGTTTCTCCTCCGCCTAGATCTTGTTAAAGTTCTATGAACTTGTGATGGGTGGGTCAGCTCTGTGGTTGAACTTCACTTCCTCACATATCTGCTTCCTCGGAAAGCTCCTGCGGCGGGCGGAGCTGAAGGTGGTGGTGCGGCGGGCGGAGCTGACAGTGGTGGTGCGACGGGTAGAGCTAATGGTGGTGGTGTGGGTTGGGTCATTGGGCGATTGGGAGCTGGGGGTGGTTGTGTGGGCTTAGGGAATGGATAACAGGGAAGGATGAGGAGGGTATTGTGGACATTTCCATCCCAAAGTCAACATCCAATAAAAATGACCAAAACAGTCAAATTGTAACAAAATTTTTAAGCCGGAAGTAGTTTCGAGCCCCTTGGACCATCACAAGTAAAGCCATGTGGTAATATTAGTAGGCCAAAATGGCCAAAGCAATATCAGTGTAAAAACAAAGCACTAATTTTGCAAAAAATAAGATAAATACTCCATTCGTTTCAAAATAATCGTCTCAGTTCAAACAGCGAGTAAAATCACATCTTCTTTAAACTTATTATATTTACAAATTGGTATAGAAATAAAAATTACAAGTTAATATTTCAAAAATGACATCAAAAGTTACACAGAATGAAACAAGATGTGACAACATTTTTAAAACAAAAATAAACAAAAGTAATGATGATGCCAAAATGGTACTGGTACTAAGACGATTATTTTGGAACGGATAACGAATCGGGGGATTACGATTAAACATGGAATAAAGGTCACCCCTCAGGACCTACACTACAGCTTCAAGTAGAGACTTGCCTTTGTTTATTTGAAGCCAACTGGAACCAGGAGTTTTCTTGACATCCCTGCTGCCCATGATTTCCCTCAAACTCCCAACATTTTCCCAGTTGAGTAAACCAGCAAATGCATTTGACAACAACACATAGGTTGCAGGGTCGTTTTTGTCAATACGCAATGCTCTCTCTGCAGCTCGCCGAGCTGTCTCTGTGTCCCCGTGAAGCACGCACGCCCCCAGCAAGGTTTGCCAGACCAACAAACCGGGCTGGAATGGCATGCCCAGAATCAATTCCTGGGCTTCCTTTATATGTCCAGCGCGACCGAGTAGATTCACCATACATGCATAATGATCTTCTAAAGGGACAATCCCATATTCATGGGTCATTGAGGAGAACAAACTCCACCCTTCGTCGACAAGGCCTCCTTGGCTACAAGCATAAAGTGCGCAAATCAAGGTTATGTCATTGGGTTTCACCTCTTCTCTCCTCATTTCGTGGAAGATCTTGAGGGCTTCTTTTGGGCATCCGTTTTGTGCGTACCCGGCTATCATTGATGTCCACGAAACGATAGAGCGCCCGTTCATTGATTTGAAAACCATCGAAGCACCACTCATGCACCCACACTTTGCGTACATGTCAAGCAATGCATTGTCCACACAAACATCGATATCGTCCCCCAGTTTGATCCTCAAGCCATGGAACTTCTCGCCGTCTTTCAAAGATGCCAGATTGGCACATGCATTGAGTGCAGTTGCAAAAGTGAATTTATTAGGCTTCACACCAGCCGCTCTCATCCTTCCAATGACTTGAAGAGCACTGCTTGGGTCCTCATGATACAGAAGCCCAGCAATTTGAGTCCAGGAGCGAACGTCTTTTGATGGGATCTCCTCAAATGCCTTCAACCCTTCACTAAGCCTTTGAGATTTTAAATACATATCCACCAAAGAGTTCCCCACACACACTTCGTTCCCATGTCCGCACTTGACGAGCCAAGCATGAACTTGCACACCCATTTTAAGGCACGGAAGTTCAGCCAATCCCGTAAGTACACTTGAAAAAGTGAATTTATCAGGTTCCACGCCATTTCTTAGCATTTTTAACCAAAAAATTGGCAACTCAGAGGGGCAAAATTGCACATACCCATCAAGCATAGCATTCCAGGTCACAATATCCTTATATGAACAATTCTCAAACACCTCTTTCGCTTCTTTTAATCTATGATGCCTTAATAAACCCGTCAAGAAAGCATTCACCAAATAAACGTTAGACTCAAAACCAAGCCTAACAATCAACCCATACACTTGAAGCAGATGTATCAAGCTCAGACAATCCGAAAAGGAGCATGCATGAAGAGCGCTCACAAAGGTGAACTTGTTCGGTGTTATTCCACTGTTGTGCATCCTGAAAAATGTAGAGAACCCTTCAATAGGAAAACCCTTCTGCACAAAACCGGCAATGAGGGCTGTCCAAGACACAATATTTTTCTGCGGCATTTCATCAAAAAGTTTGTGTCCACCCCATATTTCCCCACATTTCACATATGCATTGATGACATGGTTGTGGATATACACTGATGAAGCTATCCAGGGATTTTTTAGGAGCTTTGCGTGGATTGCTTTGACATAGCCTAAGTTTGAAGCCTCCACACATTTACGGAGTGCATGAGCAAATGTTGTTTCTTCTTCATCCTTGTTAAAATCCCATGTGACAAAGCTAGATTTGGCTGCTTGTTTTGATGGTGCTGATGATGTAACAAAAGCATGTCGAACATTTGATGGATAAGGAGCACAAGTTTCATAAAAATGGGGACGCAAGAAAACAGTGTGTTTTCCAAGTTGAGAATGAAGCATTTGCACACATATTTTCAAGCAACCAATGGTACTCGTATTATGTAAACAGGTTACTGTAAATTTCCTGGTTTGATCATATGAAAACTCTCGCATGAGACAAAGATTGAAAACACAAGTTCCTTTTCCACACACACACACACACACAGCTTTATGTACGTCTTACTCATATCACTAACACTATGTTTGGTTCAAGGAATTTGGAAGGAAAATAATAGAAAATGATTTTCTCTCATCTTCCTTACCAAAATGGGAGGAATTTGATTTTCTTCTCTTAGTACATTTTGCTTTCTCATTTTCTCTTCCTTCCACTTTTCCTTTCTAACCAAACAAAAAAAAATTGGTTTCCACTCCACTTTCTCTTTCTTTTCCCTTTCAAATTCCTTGAACCAAACATAGTGTAAGTATAACTTTACAACTCACGCATGAAGCATATGCATCAAGTATCAAATTAACATGCCTGAATCGAAACATATATTTAACATGATTATCGAACTTACGACATGTCATATTAGCAAAATTGTTATCAATGGATTATTTCATATTCTCGACTGTTATAAATATATCTAAATATATTTTTTCTGATCATGAACTGATCAACACTCATCTTCATTTCAACGAATCGGAGAGAGGAATGATTGTACGAAGGTTAACGAAATCAGTGTGGTTTGGAAAGATAGTACTCCATAGTTTGCTGCTCAACCAATGACCGTGAAACGTACCTGGGAACGGTGTAGCATGGCTGTGCTGCTTCACCAATACCCTCCGTCCACCGAAGACCGGACCGGACCAAAATTTTATGTGGACCGATTCGGTCCATAAAACGCTTGGACAACAAAAAACAATGTATAAATCACTTTGCAACACCTCAATTCTTTAAAAGGTTGCAGACATTTCACACATTCTAATGTATTGCAACTTCAAAATTGAGTAAAAAAGATAGGGAATAAATGTTTGCTCCACTGTCAATAATGCACACTTGAACATAAATGAAATGGAATAAATGGCAGCCACTCTTGAAACTTGAAAGTGCTGAGAATTTGAAACAGCCACCATAAACTCAGTAGCCACTAGCCAGCACTAAACGCCACCATTCAACTGCAAACATTGAGTCATCCATTGGAAATAAAATTTGAAGAACAATATAAGAATCTACTTTATTATTTTAAGCTACTAGCCTATAATGGATATGTTACAAAATGAAGAAAAACAATAGTACTAATAACATTGGAATGAAAATGCAAGTTTAAAAAATTACTTGTAATCGAGTTCTTTATTCAGTGACAAAGATCAAATCATCATCTATTTTTGCATTCTTTACAACCAGAAATGGGAGAGTTACATATTAGACTCATTCCACCATTTAAGATCTCACTGGTCACAAAATCACAGTTTCGGATGTGTAAGACTTGAGCTCCTCGATATTTTATCTCAAATTCTAAAAAATTGCACGCATGCTCCTCGATATTTAATGACTATTTCTGTATTTCATGATCATTTCTTTATAGAGGATATGTTGAAATCAACATTTGAGTAAAAAAAAGTGAATATAGATTGATTTTCAAATAGTGACACATGAACTTAATATCTTAAAGTTGTGGACTGTATATAAAAAAACTGTTGAAGCATCGTTTATGAAAATTTCTCAGCTAAAATTGCAAGTCTTACATATACCTTAGAGTTTACCACAATAAAAAAATCAGCAATGATGTAATTGTCCATGTGCCAAAATGAAGTAGGAAAACAACCTTGAAATGTAATTGTCCAGATTCAAAGCAACACATCGATAAATGGTAAAGTGCAAAAGCAATTTAAAATTACCAGACTATAGCAATATATACAAGTTGGAGCAATATAAACAAAAACAACCAGACCATAGCAGTGGAGAAATATAAACAAATAAAACCAGATTCTAGGATCCTTCAAAAAGAAGAAGAAACCTTTAAAAAAATTTGGTGATTTATTGATAAGTAAATTGGAAATTACCTGCGCGATGTGCCACTGTTTGAATCCGAAGAGTGAGAGAGAGACGGTAGATGGCAGCGAAGGCGACGGCGATTCATGTGGAGATGGCAGAGAGGGCGACGGTGATAAATGAGACGGAGATGTGAGGGAGACGGGTTGAGTGATTGGGTATAAACGATTACGGAGTAATACGTTTATAGGTCTATGGGTACAGACCCTTTGGTATTAGGGTATAGACCGAACCGGATCGAGAAGACAGGTTCAATATTATATCTGTCCGGGTTTGTCTGGACTTAACTGTGCGATTCGATCTATATTTCTGGTCTAGACTTAAACAGGAACACCCCTACATACGGCTACGTGACTCTGTAATTTTTCCTGCCAAATTAATTTTTTATTGAATTGTCACTCCTTTTGTTTTTTTTTTGATTTTTTACTAAAGTTATTATTTAAATTAAGATAAGTCAATATTAGTCTAGAATTAAAAAATAAAAGTTATGTAGTATTTATTTAAAAACAAATGTTGCTAAATGCACTTTCTTTTTTTATTAAATTCAATCCATTTATGAATCTTATTTAATTTTTTTAAACACTAATAAATTTATTACAAAGTAATGTCTGTTAATACTCCCTCCATTCCAGAGTATTTGTCCACTTTCATTTTTACACACCATCCAATGCACTTCTTTAATCCATTTTATCTTATAGTTTGTATATTAAAAAATTATATAAATTATATATTAATAATCTATATGTTAAGACAAATCAAATAAGATCACACATGACTATATTTAAGCTTACACATTGAAAGAATTTGATGAGTCAAAGTGCTTAGATGAACAGTTCCAAAAGTTAAAAATAGACAAAAACTGAGTAACGGAGGGAGTACATTTTGAATATAAATTCAATCTTTTCCAGTCTATGAAAGATTAGTGGAGAGCATATTTAATTTTGATGTTAAAAATGGAGGTGACAGTTTAGTAATTTCAAGTAATTCTGCTCATGTGTCCTTCTATTCCAGTATTCCCCCTCCCTCCCGCAAATTCTCATCACATTCCTTCAACCATGGGTTTCGGAGCAATAAGATCCGTCGCCCGACCCGTTTCCAGAGCTCTCCTCTCTCACCGGAACGCCTGGGCTTTTTCCTCCATAGCGTCGCCCGCCACCTTATCCTCCCTATCGCCTGAGCTCCGGTGGATTGCCGGCCCTAAGCTTCCGTGGATTCCGCCGTCCTCCGCCTTCCACAGCCTAACGGACAATCGGTACCCGAAGCGAAGGCCCATCGACAAGCCTAAGCGCAAACGACCAGTCCCGGAACCTCCTGGTACCTTCTCATTTCAGCCTTTCTTCCCTTTTCTACCGCTGTAATTAGGGTTTTAGGGGTTTACTTCTACCTTTATTTCCGGGATTCTAGCATTTGGAATTGGAAAATTCGCGTCTTTTAACCTATAACAAGCATAATTGAAGTGAATGTAAAGGGCTTACTGGAATTGCTGAGCCTTTAGTGATGGTGGCATTTTATTGAGGAAACTACTTCTTTAAGGTTGAATTTGGTGATATTAAGACTTTTTTAGTACATGACATTTACTAGGATTTCTTGGAGGCATTTTATTAGGGCTGTAGAGTATTTGAAGAGTTTGAAAGTGAGTTGAGGTAGACAAGAACAACAAACCTAGTAAAATCCCACAAAAGTGGGGTCTGCAGCGGATATGTGTGTGCCTTGAGGCGGTGGAAAGGTTTTGAAAGGCGAAAACTAGCCTCGAGGCGGTGGAGCAAAATGCCTTGAGGCGTAGGCCTCAGTTCAATATGAAAAAAATAATACTAAAATATTTACACCGAGGTAAAACGAAATGCATAATCCATCACACTACCTGGAAACATCAAGTTATTAATATTGCGTGTCATATCATAAGTTCATCCAATTCTATTGGTAGGCAGGGGTTGAACAATTTGAATCAGAGCTAATGCCAGAAACTGTTGCTCACACCAAAGATCATCAAGTTGGATCATTGGTCTTTGCTTGATTTGGTCTTTGTCTCTTTGAAAGGCACAACGGGTCGGGATTGAGAACAGGCCATTGGTCATAACCTATGAAAGAAAAATGAATAAAATTTTATATAGAGGTACGTTTTAGAAACTTCACACATAAGCCTAAGATCTCATGTTTAATAGCCTTGCTTGAGTTGAATGGGAAATATTTGCTTTATCTGGTTTAGTCTGTAACACTTCATGAGAAAATGAAGTTCCCCATAATTTTAGAGTTTAATCTTGTGATGTAGGCCCCTATTCTGGTGTTCCTAGGCGATTGCCTCATGATCCAAAACCCCAAAAGAACCCCAATGAAGGAAGTGTTAAGAGAAGGAACGAGAAGAAGAGAATCAAGCAACGCAAGGCTTTTATTTTGGTATGTGCTTAAAAGTTGCCAAAAAAATTTCTACTTCCTCTCATGATCTTATTCTCCTGGTATGATGCAATATCTCGACTGCTTGCTTATTGCCTTATGTTTCGAACTATTGTCAGTTTTACCTTGGAAAGAAATCAAATTTGATTTAAACTCTTTAAAAAACTATTTCTTTAAAATTATAAATAAGGTGAGGTTGATGTTTTTTTACAAAAAATCTAAAATTTATTAGATGAGTTTGAAGCAGTTTTGTATTTTCACTTACATTTTCTCTCCCTCCAAATTCCCCTTAAATTTTTCTCTCTGATTGGTTTCCCTAGCATTTTTCATGTTCCAAACAGACCATTAGTAGTGGGCTAAAAGAATAACCCACAACATATTTATGGATCTAGGAATTATGGAGTATATGTATGGACGGTATGGTTAATTCAGCTTTTTGGGATGGTGTTTGAAGTTTGAACACTGTTTTTCAGCTTCTGCCTCTTCAAAGTGCAGTTTAGCTTGTTTGGTAATCTGCATCTCTTTATAGCTTATGGCTTCAGAGATCAGAATGTAAAATGGGCTTCAAAATTGCTCTTCAGCAAAGCTACGAGTTGTTGCATTCCGCTTTTGACATATAACTTTTGTTTTTTCAAGAATCTACTACAACTCCAAACATCCTCTTAGTATTGGTAGTGGAACAATTTCTTAAAGAAGTTCAAATGGTTTGAGCTTGATGACAGACACATCTATTTTATTGGGATTAATAGCTGGCTGGCTGCATAAGATTTGGTGATCCTTATTGATTTCTTATTTAAATGCAAACTTGCAATGGGGAAAAATGGAAAATGTGGTGCTCTCATTTAGTGACCTGCATCAATAAACAGATTTTAGCTGGTTTAGACTTTATGAACTTAGTCTAATGAATATATTAGATCAGC